CCCTGGGGACCCCCAAAACCCACCCCACTCCCCCCTAAACCGCTGAGGGGCCACCCCAGGGCACCTCCACGCCCCTCCAGCTTCTCCAGGACACCCCCAAACCGCCCTGGGCCCCTCCCAAACCACCCAGGACCCCCAGCAGAGCCCCCCTTGGCAGCCCCCACCTCATCCAGGTCGGTGTCCGCGGCCCCCCAGGCGCTGCCCCCGAGGGGCTCGGGCAGCTCCAGCGAGTTGAGGCACACCAGGCCCTGGGGCAGCCTGCGGGGGGGCGGCGTCAGAGCCCGGCCAGGGGTCAGAGCCCGGCCAGGGGGCAGAGCCCGGCCACGGGCAGAGCCCGGCCAGGGGGCAGAGCCCGGCCAGGGGTCACTCCTGGTCAGCCCCCAGGGTCACTCCTGGTCAGAGCCCACCCAGGGTCACTCCTGGTCAGTGTCAGTGCCCACCAGGGTCATTCCTGGTCAGCCCACCAGGGTCACTCCTGGTCAGTGTCAGTGCCCACCCAGGGTCACTCCTGGTCAGCCCCCCAGGGTCACCCAGCTCAGTGTCCACCAGGGTCACTCGTAGTCAGCCCCCCCGGGTCACCCTGCTCAGTGCCCCCCCGGGTCACTCGTGGTCAGCCCCCCCGGGTCACCCTGCTCAGTGCCCCCCAGGGTCACTCGTGGTCAGTGTCCACGGGTCACCCTGCTCAGTGTCCGTGTCCCCCGGGGGTGTCCCCGGCTCACCCGTCCGCGGTGTCCAGGGCCGTGCTGATGTCCTGCGCCCACACGGAGGCGGCCGGGCCGAGGGGCAGCGTCCGGGCCACGGCCACGGCCTCGGCGGGGCCGCGCACGGCCAGCAGCAGCAGCAGCGGCCCCGCGGCCTGGGGGGCAGCGAGGGGGCGCTCAGGGGGACCCCCAGAGGCGCCCCCATCCCCATGCCGAGCCCCCCCGGGGGGCACCCACCGGCTCCCGCAGGCAGCGCGAGGTGGGGGCCACCCCCGAGATCAGCGTGGGGGGGAAGAAACGCCGCCCCTCCCCCGGCAGCGGCGGCAGCGGAGCCTGGAAAACCT